CCACTACCTCGTCCATACTGGCTCCAGGAGACAGTTGGTTGTTGCTGGAGGGGACGGGGTGCACGGTCCTTGTGGCCGTGCTAGGCTCGAAGAGTGGTTCCATGCACTCAGTGTGGAGCGGACTACGGTCCAGCCACCGCCTTGTGTGCGCTTGATTCCCAAATACAATGTGCTTGTGTTTGCGTGTGAAGGAGTGTGAGCCGGCTCCGTTGATGAAACGTGGTTCCCATCCGCATGCCTCCTGGTCTTATTCCTTCGGGTTTACACTGGATATGAGGTGTGTGGATGGAGCTGTGGGTGGTGCAGCGCAAGCCATTAATGGTCCCTCTGTAGGCGCAGGCGTCCTGTGACTTGCCACAGTGACAGGCAAATCCGAAATTGGATACAGCCAATTAATATTAAGTAATAGAACCCCAATCGTTCTCCTGTCTAGGCATGTTCAGCCTGACAGTATCCAGCCCACGTAATACCATGAACCTCTTTTCAAACAAATTTCTGGTGCTCTGGCCACCGCAGCGGCTAATCTACGGTTCCCTATCTGCTGCATCGAGCAGGTTTTATAGAGGTTTGGATGCTACTGCTCAAGTCTTCCCGTTCTCTTATTCCCCTTCTTACGCTTTTTCTCCTTTTTGGTCCTGTGCCAACTTCACTTTTATCCCCCTAGTTTTCAGCCCTCGATTCCTGGCCCTCCCCAACATGTTTTGCTGGGCATTTATCTCCTAATTTCATTTCACATGCTTACCTGGAGCGTTACTCCTTTCCTGTCGACAAGCCCATGTCCAACCAAGCGGTCCATTCCAGTTCATCGGCTACCATTTGGAGCCCTCGATCCTCCTTCACATTGGCGTACCTCAATGTACGCACACTGCTATAAATCTGTCAACAGGCAGCATTTGCCCGAACATTGGAGACCATCTGGATCGATATCTACTGCTTATCAGAGACCCGCCTGCAAGACTCGAGCTCTGTGCTCACTCTGCGATCCCCTTCAGGTGACACAAGCAGTATTTTCTCATTGCGCCTTTCCGGTGATGATGCAGCTTCGAGCACCGGCCAAGCTGGTGTTGACATTGCCCTGAGTCCCCGGGCTGAAGCTGCTCTGGTTAATTGGATTCCAATCAATGGCCGGATGGGTGCGGTCCGATTGGCTGGCTCGGTCAAAGCTTCGAATTTTCGCGGGACTAAAATGTGTCTATTCATCATCGCTGCCTATGCGTCCACAAACTGTAGCGATGATTCGGGCTTTGCTTTGCACCATAGAAGTGCAATGTGATTGGCAGAGATCGCCTCCTGCGCTGACCCTTGGTGGAGATCTGCTAGAAGTCGTTCGGAAATTCAACTACCTTGGAAGTTGTATCAGCGCCCGTTGGATTAAAGATGAGATCACGAACCGTATAACAAAAGCTCGAAGTGCTTTTGTTTGCCTTCGCCATCTGTGGCGGCGGCGCGACATCTTTCTTGCCCTGAAGGGTAGAGTGTACAATGCAGCGGTACGTTCGACCGTACTGTGCGGTTATGAAACCTGGCCCCTTAGATCAGCGGACATAAAGAGGCTAGTTACGTTCGACCACCGATGCGTTTGCAATATGGCTCAGATCTGCTGGGAACACCACGTGAGCAACGAGCGTGTTCGATGCCTTGTTTACGGCATGCGGAAAGGAAATGAACCGCTCAGCACCGTTATTTCACGCACCAGGCTCCGATGGCTCGGCCACGTGTTACGCATGCCAGCCCACGGACTTCTGCGACGTGCGTTGTTTGTGCGCCGCGAGTGTGGATGGAAGAAGGGGAGGGGTGGCCAAGCGATGACTTGGTCGATAAGAATGAAGGCCCTCACTTCGGAGCTTGTCTCGGTTGGAACGTCACGGCTTCCTGGTTGGTTGGTGTCCAAAACGCGATGAATACGTTTGGCTGGATATGCTTGTTGATATGGCAAGGAGCCGATCTCAGTGGCGTTCCTGCTGTGAGTTTCTTTGTCCCTCCCCATCCCTCTTAGTCTCCCCCTCCAACCACGATTTCATTATTTAGCATTTTATAATTTCGCATAGTAAATTATTATTTTTCTGCCGCATAGTATCCGGCTGGTAGCTTACCGGAACGATGCCCATCCGTTACCGGTAGCTCAGCTGGCTTGCAGCTGTTGCGTTTTTTCCCCTTTCTTCTTTTATGTATTGCGGCACAGCAGCTGAGGTGTTTCTCACCTCATAGTGTGTGTGTGCGCTTCTGAAGTTCTCAGACGCCCTACTTGTGCGTTCATATTCCCTGCGAATACTATAAAATCTGAACTTGTAGCACTGCGTAGTAGCGCGTTCAGTTCCTGCTAGAATGTGTCCTTGACAGCATTAGAATTGCAGTCGGTGGGAGCATAAACGGTGATCACAAACAAACAACGTTTTCTATTACTTCGTGAATCAACCTTAGCTGATGTCCGCAAACAGGCTGCACATGAACGGCTGTTCAACGGAATTCAATCAACCAACGATGGCTCAACCTTGGAGCTTAGAATGATACCTACACCAGCTTGACCCGTGAGTGCTGCATCGGCGTCTCCGGATGTGTGCAACCAATAACGAGAGGATAAGCCGGATGCAGTTAATTCAATAACCCCGTTAGGGTCATTGATTCTAGTTTCGGACACACAACACACATCAATACCCAGTGTGTCCAAGTTGCGTGCGAGTGCAGCCTGTTGACCAATTTGTCTTAGAGTGCGAACATTGAATTTCGCCATGGAAACGGGATAGCGAGGCCTTATAAGGGACTTTTGCCGATAGGCGTCCGATAGGTGCTGTGGGATGGTGGCTGCATATGGTTCTACTCCAGTGGCACTTCGGTTGCTGTCAATTAAGCTGGGAATTATAGAAGAAAGGTTAGTAATGGGGGTCGGAATGTAAGAGAACAGGTGGAATAGAAAGAAGGGTGGAGCCAGCAGTAGCATGTTTTCGCTTATCCACCCTGCTATATGCAGCAGATAAGGCGACCCTTGATAATCTGCGCGACGGCTGATGCAGGATGAAGTTTGTTTGAAGAAATAGTCATGTTTCTATGTGGCCTGAGATACTGCCAAGGCGCCCAGACCTAGACAGGAGGAAGATTAGGGTCCTCTTCCAAAGCCTATAGCTCAAAAGCCTGTCCACAAGGAAGCGGGGAGGGGGCAGTGATTTAGTTTTACAGAAATGGACGCCATCCGATTTCAAACCCTCAAGCTGAAGGACCGGAAGACTGAGTTTTTCTGACCCCTCACCATTGGCCAACCTGGTAGGAGTAGCTCTCAAGGTTCCCGGAGGCACCATCGGCAAATCTGCTACTTATTAGTACTATAAAATAAATAGCTTCTCCTAGTTTCAAACTGCTATGTATATAGCGTCTAGTGAGAGAACGTCATCACCTCGCAGGCTAACCACTGTCAGTGACTGTGGAAGATAGGTGGTGCTATATCCCAGTTAGTTTGCAAATTATGTAGCCCAGCCAACGTCTCCCATGGCTCAGTGGCCTTAGCTGCTGGCTAGTTGGCATCTGCCTCTAGCGGTCATGGCTTCGATCCCCATTAGGGGACCGAGGGAATGCGCACCACTGACGAGTCCCAATAGGGCGAAACACGTCTGGTGCATTTCTGGACTAGGCTCGAGAACCTCAACCAGTATAGCTCAATGGGTCAATGAGGTACGCAAACCGCCGCACCACGTTAAGGTTCTGCCTTGTTGCGACGGATTTGACCTCTAACGACGATCTCTCTCTTGAAACCATGTTACTAAGCAAAATGTTACCTTATTTGTATTCTATGTTGTTTTGTGTCTCTTTTTCATGTATTTTTGTATTGCAGCACAATAATTGAGGCATTTTTCATCTTTAGCTGATGTTTAATGATGACGATGATTTGGTTGGGCACACTCGTTGTCATGGCAGGGAGCCGACCTCAGTGGCATCTGTGCTGTGCGTTTATCGACCCTGCTCCCAGTCGCTTAGCGTCTCCTTCCGACTTCGATCATTCATTATGTCAATCTACTTCAGTTACCGACCCCTTTATCGATTTAGGAATCGCGGTTCATAATCGCGGTCCGCAATCAATTTCCACAACGAATGATTAGAACTAACTCTTTAAGTCGGAGTATAATAATATTTAAGATTTATTTTGCTTTGTTTTTCTTTGTGATGTCAGCTGGTTGAATTTGTTTTGCGGCACAGTAACTGGGTGTTTCCCACACTCAGCTAATATGTTGATTGAGGATGTTAAGGGATGTAAACCTTTTAGAAGTGTCTCAACTCACCTTCATACATTGGTTGCATTTCAGCACTTTCCAGGCATACTTATGTTACTTTTATATTTTTAAAGCAATTAGTTCTTTACCGCAATTTGAAAGGCATAGGACCAAGACGAAAGCTGATGGGTACGCGCATCTCGTATTGTCTCATCAGTACCATTGACAATAACCGATGTGTTTTTATATGCCGGACAATGCGTATGGCCAAACAAACCGGAAGGGTGTGGAAATGGTGTCATTTTTCAGTCCATGGCATTAGGCTGAGAAATACTCACTTTTCAACACACATAACTGGCTTCCTTCGGCTTATTTAACTGCCTAAGCGAGGATTAGTATAGCTCCACACAATTTTGAGCAGAGCTCTATCCGGTGACACGTGTCCAGTAGTTTTTTTTTCTACCCAAGAGTCCGGCAGTTCACTAACCTTCAGGAGTTCGGGGTGGGGGTAAGGATGCTGGGCAGTTTCACATTGAACCCATTTTTGTATATGTTCGGGAGCTCAGATTCCTGTCATTCCTGCTTAAATACATGTCTCCTCAGCCACCTAGCAATCGGTATACGCAGCATGAGTTGATTCTGATTAGCTAAGTTTCTATGGTTAGAAGTTCCGGTAGACTTAATGTTTGCTGGTGACAACCTGTACCTCATTTTAACTTTGCTTACCATAGATGTATTTGCATATCTTTGTTTCACTGTTACTTTTGTGTTTATACTCTTCTCTATCTCATTGCTTTGTAGCAGACTATCAAATCACCTTTTAATACGCGAACCAGTACCAGATGCTCATCTTCTAGCCTGGCATGAGGTGTGATTCGGATCCAGATAAAGCCGGCTCTATGTTACCCTCTGGGTCTGGTATGTCTTCTTCGTTTTCCGAAACACCGATGTTAGACGAAGCCGATTCGTCGGAGTTCGAATCTTTTAGTGAAGATGAGGATGTTCAAAATGTGGTCACCCAGCGTGATGTATTTGGGAGCGATGCAGGTGAATCATCATCGTTTTTGCTTTATCACAATTGCACATATTAGGTTCCGAAGAATCATCCCCAAATGCTCCACCGAAGTTGCCGGAAGTATGATTTGCTTTTTAAAGTGCCTTATCTTCTTTTACAATGTAGGCGTGTTTTATCAACATATCACTTTCTTTTTTCATGCTTTTGGGACTTTGAGACCGGGCCCTAATATACTGCGGTGTTTTGCGTGACAAGCTTTAGGTTATACTAGGTGGTACTCATTGGCATCTTCAATGTGCTTTGACTATACCAATGGTGAAACGTTATACGAACTAAATCTCCTGGTTTTCCAAGTTAGGAATTGTGGCTGTGATGTCACTGTGGTGTAATTCATTGTCTCAAAACAAACTTGCATGCGATTTGGAATTCGTAAGTTTGAAAGCTTTCGGGTACAAATTGTTGTTGTATACCTTGGTATTTTGTTGACGTTTCGCTCTTGGTGCAATAGCATTTTCGGTCCAAGTAAACCGGCACATAACTAGCGTACATTTTTGATCAAACTAGGGATATAAGCATGAGCAACAATACGAGTCAGTAGATAATTGCCGTTGCAGTTCAGAGAGTCAGGGGATCATTTTAGTGGTGTTACAAGAGATTCATGCATGCGACTTTTTCCTCTTGTTCGTAGGGATATTGATGCTGTTTCCTCTCTAGACTGATCGTTTTCCTGTTTGGGTGTGTCGTTCTCGGTTTGTCCCAGCCCATATACATCCTTGATTTTCTCCTCATCAGCCGCCGCACAGTTTTTTTACGCTGCTTACAGTGAAGCGGATAAAACAAAACAAACTACTACAGATTATTTTTGTCTTTTCCGCTCACTTCTTTTGTGCCATTCCCGATTCACATCACCAGCCTATCTTCAGCAACCCGCAGCAACTTGACGGTATCTACAGTGCCAATGGCGTTTCTCCGTCTGCACTGTGTCAGGTGCTTTCCTACTTTCAGAAACATCTGACCAGGGCACACTGCCCGGTTTTCTTGGCTGCTTTCAATGCTCGCGCCCTCAAAGATAACATTTTGCACTTCCATGCACACAGAGTACTCTCACTCTTGACATGTGTCATAACTCACTGCTCCGGAAAGGCTATCGTTCTACTTACGCCAATGTTATCTTCTTGAATGAGCAGCACACCTTCGGGGACGCTGATGCATCATCCACTAATCAAAGCATAGTAATCAATCTCAAGTTAAGGTCTGACTACTCACTGGTTGATTTGAGTCCTTTAACCAGCCGTTTAAGTGCAGCCCACTTGATGACGACAACTTAAGTTAGCGCATAAACCACCACTAGGTGTGACTTATTCGTGGTGTCAAATGTATTCACCTCACCACCATGAATCGATCGGAGCTGATAAAATAGAACCATGGTTGTCGTCTCTAATCTAACTGACTGCAGTCCCGCAACTATCAAAGAATCCTTCTAGCATTAACTCAGTCCCGGCATAATTCCGGATGCTGCGGATAGGACTACACAAGCTGGTTATCTGGGCTCCCAGAAGTGCGCGTTTAATCGCAAGTGCAATAGCTACCGAATTTCATGCATATACCGATCGTTCGATGTCCTACTACAACACTGCACTCAAACACAGCGCACTGAGATACCACTTGGTGACCTCCGACTGTTGACCGGAGATGTAATTAAACTGATCGCAGCCAGCATAACCTATTAAGCTGAAGCAAACACTCCAGTGAGACACCAGAGGGCTTCTTACTAAACACCAACTGACAGACCTCAGCACTGCTCCCTTATTGTTCCAACCAGATAGAAGCGATACTGCGCAAGCATCTGTGATCAGTGACGGCCAATCGCCGGTGTGTTCAGTACGAGCTGGCCAGGTCTTTGATCCATACATTAGCATCGGCTTTATCAACAAGCTGATATCATACCATCTCCATAGATAATTGCCTTTTTAACGAAGCACGATGGCATTGCTGATACTTGAAGTTAACTCCTCAGTGATTTGACCACCGGAGGTGATAACTACCAAGGTGCTAAAAAGGTTCGTTTCCTAGGACGCTGTCATAGGACGTGTGACGCTGGTGTGGGATCACACCTAACCGACGAGCAAGTGCGCTGTACCCTCAAAAAACCTGATTATGGACTGGGATCATACAACGACTGGCGATCACACATTGGCCCATGGAAGTGAGTTCAGTGCGTGGACACTGGCGGGTTCATAGGGTTACATTGTTCATAGATGTACTCAAGGCTGCCTGTGTTAGACGACTAACTGGAGGATAGAACTCCGTACGTGTGTAGGCTGCTGTGTTTATCTTTGATTGACTGGTTGAGCTTCTCTGGCAGTTAGACCACAACACAAGATAAGTGAAGCGATCGACTACTTCCAGCGGCTGTTCGGTGATAGCTAGAACCGATGGCGTATCGGTCCAGTCCTTGCACACTGAAGATACAAAACGCATATCGAAGCTTGCAGCGCTATGCGTCCTAGAGGATCGATGCCCGTACGAAGTTTGGGCGCATTGGAAACATGCCTTATGTCTCGACGATTTTCACACAAAGTTCGTTAACACTTTTTGACATTGGGCACGACAGTTACCAGTCGCCAGCCTGCAGGAACCTCCTTACTTCCCCAAATGGTGTTAAATGGAGTAACAAGTCCAGTCAACCAAGGTCGATCTCCATTTTCAGCGAAGGTGGAGGAAGATTATCGGGTTTAGGTTTTTTCTATGCAACATGGTGAATTTATGTGGAATCTCAGTAGGAAATGTGACATCAACTCCCCACGGGCTGAGATAATTCGACACACGGCGGTGTCGCTGGAAGTTTGTTGCGGGGCTGTTCCAATTGTTTTGCCCAGTGGGCTAGTTGACAAGACCTGCAATCAACTGTCCACATTTTTAGTTCTTCCCTTCATGACTGAGGGTTTTTTGGGTCCTTTTCTTCGTGAACAAGAACATTACTTGGTTATTTCCAACAACGGGCTTCTCCATCTCACGGGCACTTACCACCCACCAACGTTCCCTATCAATTCTTGGTCTGTTTGCAACTAATCGTTTCCTGATGTTTCGGATACGCTACAATTAAGTATCCAACCTAATCTCTTTGCCTACTGCGATTAAACTTATCAATGCCTCAGGTATGCGTTCACAGTTGGGACGTCTAAAGTTAGGCGTAGAGTAGTCGTCAATAGCATTATTCATGACATATTTGAAATGCCCCCAGTGGACATTCGCATCACCAACTCTCACTGGCAATTGGTGGGCCAGTTCCTTGTGAAATTACTGGGTTTCGAGCTACGAAGTCAACTTAGAAGCTGATGGCTTATAAGTGCAGAGCTTTTTCGATACCGGAAGAATGGGCCACATGCTTGCTCGCATCGGGGGAATCCAGGCACGTGTTCAAAGTTGGCCGACAGCCTTGGACTTGCGTGCACCTTGTATTGCTCATGGCAATATGGTCTGTCTGGGTCCAGGCCGTCGAGAAATTAGGTGAGCGTCTGGAGACGTGATGTAAACCATTTTTCTGGAACGCATTGCTGCTACCATGAAGTTTATAATCACCACATAGTTGTAACGACCGATCACATTGTCTGTTCGGTGTGCTTGGGCTCCGAACAGACCATTCATCTGCCGTTCAAAGTTTGGTAGACAACCCACTTTGGCAGTCATGTCGCCAGCGAGTCATAGTATTTCCATTTAGGTTTCGAGAACATGAGACTATTTGGTGAACAATAACCTTTAATGAGTCACCTCCAAACTATTAACATCATACACAGGGGCTAACGAAGATGGAAGGACCTAGGGTCAACTGCATTACGTCAAGCTCCGTAACACGCGATTAACTTATTAAAGCGTAGTTCGCTTTTTCGTTTCAAAACATGTGACTTACTATGTAACTTGAACTAACTGGGTCGATTTTATTTGCTTTGTCTATACGATTGCAATGGTGTAAAAAATGTATCTCTAAGAGTAATCGTTCACCAAACGGTATCTTGTTCTCTAGTCAGAATTCCAGTACGGATGAGAAATGAAGACAGACGTTAGTATTTCTCTTTGCTTCCCTTCGTATTACAGCCGGTGAGGGCGTAGACCGAAACGATGAAAAGGTATCTTGTCTCCAGGCCGTGCGTACTAATATTGAACTGGAATTAAACTTGCAGCAACCATTCGGTGCTCGGGGTTATAAACTGAAATGACGCAGTCGCCACACACGGCATTATCATCGTAATCAGGCACGACATATCGCTTATTTGTGTTGGTGTTTCACTGCTGTACCACCTAATGGTGGGATTTGCGAAGATGCTAGGTGCAGGGATTCTATATGGAATATAAGTAGACCAGATAGCGAGACTCGTGCGCCTACACAATGCTAACAATTTGATGGTAATCCTGCAATGATAAGGTGATAGCAGCGAGACACTTGGTGTTATAATCAGCTGTACTCCATAGATGACTCATCACCATACAGTCGGTCGGTGACCCATTGTTATAAAGCGTCTGCCTTGTAATCTAGAGGCCACCGATTCGAATCTGCATGGATGCGCTCGACTTCCGTGGCAACGAAGCTTCGGTACGGCATACGGACGTGCCGCTGGTGTCCCAGTGCTATAAACGCTATACATCAACCTGGTCGGAGACAACGGGGAAGCGTTACTAATGACCGGTTACGAGCCTTGCTCTGTAACGCCTGCCAACTACACGTTACATGTTATGAGCCCCACCATTGAAGAAGACAATATGCCAAGTTTAACCGTCGGTGACTTGGTTTACTCCACTCCTGCGTTAACATCACGCTAGATGTGACCCACATAACAACGTCCTCTAGCTCTATGGGTGAGCATGCGTTACACACAAATCAACATGGTATGTTCAATCTGATCACTGGCACTCACCTCTCCTCGTCGCGTACATGTTGGGGCCACCAGACGCGAGTAACTTTCTGTAGTCGACGGTGGTCAGTGATCTGAAAACGCTGAATATTAGCTAGTTAGAAAGGACGTTGCAGCCCCGTAAACCGGAACCACCTTTACAGTAATTCTTCATACACGGATATTAAGACCAACGGAAATCCCCTTATTGCCCCAAATGTGTCGCAAATC